CGGCAACCGTCGCCGGCAACCTATGGCCGTACCCTTTGAAAGATAATTACAAAGCTGTAGTGCATTCTCGAATCCCTAAACCTGTTCTTAGTTCTTAGTAAATGAGTCGGAATTTGCATGTTCAAGTAGATCACTCTAAAAAGTCCGGCTTATGTCACGAAGTTTCTCCTTCAGGTTGTTGTTCATCCCTTTGTCGACGGAAACGGGCGTACTGCGCGTCTTCTTCTCAACTTGATCTTGATGAGAGCTGGCTTTCCACCTGTCATTCTACCGGTTGAATCACGAGCCGAGTATTATGCAACTCTTCATATTGCTAATCTTGGGGATCTACGACCTTTCGTCAGATACGTGGCGCGTCATACAGAAAACACATTGCAGGTATGGATTTCTGAATGCTTAACCACAGGTTTATCTCTCAGTCAGGAGAGTTGGCACCAAATATATTTGGGTGAAGTCATACTTCTGATAACTCTTCAGTTCTACATCAACTCAGCAGAAAAATGCGGAGTGGACTGTGCAGATAATGGTCTGCGCGGCGAAGAATCAGGAAGGATACAATCTGGTTCGGATATTGCCCAAGAAGCAGTGAGAAGCTGACATTTTCTGAGCCGACATAGAGAACTTCACAATGTGGATCCCTTAACAACAAGCGAGGCATTGATCACGATAAGTATTATGAGCCACATTATTGTTGATGCTGGACATCTACTTTTCTTCACTCATCTACCTAGTCTTTTGAACGAGTTGCTTCTCAGGTGTTACACTCTTGCGTCATATCGAGGTACTACGCAGTCGATTGTAGCGATTTACTCGGTTACAAAATTTTTATCTAACTCTATGGTCTTTTCTCTTTTTCTATCTACTAATAATCTTTCAATGTTATAACACTTTAACCTGTGCACCAGACATTCGGGTATTTTTGGGCTGTGATAGCGGTCTCAATCGCTGGGCGTAGTGATGAACTCGTGAAGTTTTGTTATACATTGTTGTGCTTTGACAGCATAAGTGCTGCACATATTCCTGGGAATAAAATTTCCATTCCGTTATGAAGTCATGCAGTAAATAAGTGCTCGGTTAGTTGAATTCAGTTGCGGCGTATATAGAACTAGCTGGCATACCCGGCTCCGCCCGGTCCA